CGGCCGGCGGCGTGGGCCACCATCACCACCACCACACGCACCACCACCACCACCACCCCAAGTGCCTGCTCGCGGCCGACCCGCCGCCGCCGCCGCCCCCGCCGGGCCTTCCTTGCTCCGGGGCGCTGCGCGGCTTTCCCCTGCTCCCGGGCCACCCGGAGGAGGGGTCCGCCTTCAAACACGTGGAACGCACCCCTCCCGCAGCCGCCGCGTTTCCCGGAGCGCGCTACGCCCCGCTGCCCGCCGCGCCCGCGCTGCCCCTGGAGCGCTGCGCCCTCCCGCAGCTCGACGCGGGCGGCCTCAAGGGCTACCCGGGCGCCGAGTGCAGCCACCTGCCCGCCGTCATGCCAGCCTTCACGGTCTACAACGGAGAGCTGCTGTACGGCTCGCCCGCCGCGGCCGCCTACTACCCGCTCAAGCTGCACTTCGGGGGGCTGCTCAAGTACCCCGAGTCCATCTCCTACTTGAGCGGGGCCGCAGCGGCTGCGGCCGCGGCCGCTCTGAGCCCCGCGGAGCTGGGTTCCCTGGCCAGCATTGACCGAGAGATCGCCATGCACACGCAGCAGCTGTCCGAGATGGCCCTGGCCGGGAAGGGCCGCGGCCGCCTGGACTCTGGGGCGCTGCCGCCCGCCGTGGTGACGGCTGCGGGCGCTGGGGGCGGCGGCGGCGCGGGTGGCGGCGCGAGCAAGCCCAAGACCGGCCACCTGTGCCTCTACTGCGGCAAGCTGTACTCGCGCAAGTACGGGCTCAAGATCCACATGCGGACGCACACGGGCTACAAGCCACTCAAGTGCAAAGTGTGCCTGCGGCCCTTTGGCGACCCCAGCAATCTCAACAAGCACATCCGACTGCACGCCGAGGGCAACACGCCCTACCGCTGCGAGTTCTGCGGCAAGGTGCTCGTGCGCCGCAGGGACCTGGAGCGCCACGTCAAGTCCCGCCACCCCGGCCAGAGCCTGCTGGCCAAGGCGGACGACGGCCCGGGCACCGAGCCGGGCTATGCCCTGGAGCCTAGGGATCCCAAGAGCGACGACAGCGACGTGGACGTCTGCTTCACCGACGACCAGAGCGACGCGGAGGCCGGGGGCGGCGGCGATCGCGACTTGTAACAGCTCTCGCCCGGAAGGGAAGGGGCCGGGGCGCGGACGGAGAGTAGCAAGGAGAGAGTGTGTGAGCGGTCTGTCTGCGAGAAGAGGAAATCCTGATGAAAAGAAGGCCCTGGTGAGGAAAACGGAGCTGAAATTCAGCCAGGGCTCAGAGATAGCTCAAAGAAATTAGGCCACCAGGGCGGCGCGGGTGGTGGGTCTCTGGCCCCCAGGATTCCCTGGATGGCTCCCCCACCTCTCCAAACCGCCGGAGGAGCAGCCTTCTTTAGGGGTTTCGTATCAGATTAATACCAACATCACGCTGCCCTCGAGGGCCCCGACTTTAACTGCCATCTATTTTTAAATTGTATTTTTCTGTGAAGGAAATTGTGCCTTTTGAAACGAGGTTTTGTGTGAATTTTACATTAGCATTTCATTGTATAGGCAAAACACTAATCACAAGTCAGTAGTGTGACATCCATACACGTGTTTCTGTTTCACCCGTTCTCACGTCAAAGACTGCTCATTGCCACACTGAATGCACAGTGGTAGCAGGTGTACAAATTGGTCAAGTTGCAATTATTTATGAAAGAATGATAAATGTAAAATATCTAAAGCATGAATTTAAGAGCACGCAATATATAATTTTAAAGAAAATATCCTATTTGGTAGAGTACAAATGTGTATTTGTTTTATAATGAATAATGTACAGTGGATACAGTATTTTGGTCTTGGTTCCAGTTTGTGCAATCTTTAAGAAAAATAAAAATGCAAACTAGAATTTGTGGACTTAGCAATTTCAGATCCTTTAAAGAAGTAGCTCAACAGGAAAACAATTTTTTTAAAAAAGTTTGAAGACACTTCACAATAAAATAAAGCCTAGGTCACTTGAATACTTTGGTTATTCATAGAATAAATGTTAATCAGTGTTATGAGAGGGAAATACATCATTTTAAAGACACATTTCACAGGTTCTCAGCAAGTAAAGTAATTGGTTCCTGAAAACATTGTTAATCATACTGTTTTCAACCTTACTGAAAGAAGCTAACGACCTTCAAGGACAAAAAAACCTTTTGCATTATAATCCCTTGTCAGAAAGAATTGTGGAACTGTAGAATCACTATTTCTTATCGCTATTTCTTGTTGTGTTTCATTTTGATAGAACCTTCCTTGGGAGGCAAAAAAAACTTGCTCAGTGTTTATGATCCATACATTTAGTATTCATTCAACAAATACTAAAGGATCTATTTTGTGGAGGTGCTGATCTACTTGCTTTACCTAATCCCCCCTCCCCATGTACTTCTTCTAACAGGCTTGCACTCTCAGTATTGGCTTCATTTAACAGAGGAGAAAACATTCTTCAGGGTCACTAGGAGGCCCATAACTAGAACAGCGAAGTTAGAAGAAATGACTATTTGCTGTTTTTTTTAAAAATTAATGCTAGTTAATGGAAAGTTATAACTGTGTGGGCTAAAATTGGAAGGCGCTCTCCCTCCTCCCCATATATACTCCTGAGAAGATTTTGCTAGAAATGGAGGATTGGTCAGGCCCTCAGCTTAGGGCAGGTAACCCAAGAGCCCAGGTGGGCAGCAGTTTTCATAGAGGTTGGCTCAGTGACTCAGGAGCTCACCCACGTGTCTGGATATGGTCCTGATGAGCTCATTAGGTATGCCCTCTACCTTCTCAATCCTGAAAGCTCTGAGAGTCTCCCCTGCTGTCTGCCCACTGGGAACCCTGCCTCAGTCACCCAGTGGTGGGCAAGCACTTTATCTGGTTCTTGACGGCAGGAACCCTGGGTGGGGGAAAGGCATCTGATTTCTACTGGTGGATGTTTGGAAAATAATTTCTTCTGCAATGAAGACTTGTGCTAAGAATTATAGGTTCATAGTGTCAGTGGACCACAACTATTTTGCTTTGTAAAAGAAAGCCTAAATAGTGGAAATGAGTGGGTTACATCACATGTAAATATACTGATAAAGATACTACCGTTTATTGAGGTCCTATTCTCTGCCAGATTCTTATGCTATTTGTAGTTCTTTCCTCTAAAAGAAGACTATGGCTCAGGGATGCTCTTGCTACCAAGGACTGAAAATGAACTCAGGCATGTGCTTCCTAAATCTGGGCTTTGAGAATTCAGACTTTCTCATAATCTGCTTAGTATCGTGGTCTTGTCCTTTCAAACAGTTACTACTTGCAATCAAATCTATGCCCATAGTGGGATACTGGAAAGTTGTTTCTGAAATCAGACCATCTAAGTTCTCAGAGAAAGTGAGAAGGATCTCTCAGATTTGAAGTCTGGGAAAAGTCCTATCAGCTATAAAGTATTGCCCCCCCATCCCATTTCTTAGCTCAGTACTAACTCCAATAACTCTTGTTTTGCATGAAAGTACCCCATAAAAAGTACTTTAAAAATAGCTTTGGTGAAAGAAACACATTGAGAATTGATAAAAATTTAATAAAGCTAACAAAATCCCCAGCCTTCTGTTTCTCCTTTGTAACTTGGTATCTACTATTAGAATAGATTCCAATATAAATAATGAAAACTGAGCAAAGATTTATTTCTTTATTTATTTTTGTTTTTTTGAGACAGGGTCTCGTTATGTAGTTCAGGGTGGGCTTGAACTTAGTTTTAGTCAGGCTGGCCTCAAACTTTTGTGTACCCTTGTGCCTCAGCCTCAGTGTTGGGATTATAGGTGCGTGCCACCATGCCTGATTTGAACCTGTATTTTAAAGTTTTAATTACAGGTTGATTGCAATTCTCTACAGACTGCTTCAGACAACTCATATTTGCTCATGTAAGTGCATACTCTCATACATAGTTAATGCTCTGACAATGTCAGATCAGTGATGTACAATCAATAGCAATAATGTTAATTGTTTTAACTGGCTCAGTTGAGTTAGTATTTCTCAGATTACTTCTTTCAGTCTTCGGTCCCTTTCACTCCACTCACCTTCACTCAATTCTTCTTATCCTGCAGATCATAACTAACTTTGAGGGCAATCCGGAGGAAGCCACTGGAAATTTCTGAGGTTTTAACCGCATATTTTATACCAAAACATTACAAAAAAAAGATAAGAAGATGCATATCTTCTGGAAGTGAAAGCCTCTAGATTGTGTGGCTCTACTTAACTTGGGCATTACAATGTTTTGGTACCTTAAATATATCAGATTCATGTGGGTTTAAGTCTTGCCTCTGGCACTTACTAGCTTGGCATGTTTTTGGCTATTCTCTCTATTGCTTCAATGTCATCATTTGTTAAACAGAGTAAAACAAGCAAAGAGTAGGTGTGAAAATTAAGTAAGCTGATGCAAGTAAGCTGCTTAAAATCACGCCTGCAGAGTAAACTTAAATAACATAAGATAAATAGCAACCTTTTCTGCTTTCGTTGCAACATCGACTCAAGGAGATGACAGCTGAAGCCCTTCATAAGCATTAACGTCTTTTGATTCACTTCCAGCCCTTGACCAACTCCTACCAAAGTCAGTAAACAAAGACCTGCAAACGTGGTTAAGGAGAAACTTCTTCAGGATCCCTTACCAGGTTCTCCTTCCATGTTAAGCTCAGTTACCGGTACAAATGGTTAATAATGGTTACTTGAGTGGGGAAGAAGGTTTTCCCTTTCTTCACTAATTTTTGAAATGCGTAGCTGCGCAGTGAGGTTTGACAAGCTTGCAGTTGAGGTGAAAACATTTGCACCTCCCTTCCTGAACGGAGCAGAACTTAGGAACCCAGCAAGAAGGGCAACTCTGCAAGGCCTTAACCGTCTGGGGAGAGGGTACTGTGTTTAGATTGAGGGAAGGTGAGTAGTTAGAACTGCAGGTTCTAGGGACCGAGAAACTAACTCCTGCGGCACAAGCAGGTTGGTTCCGGACAATCACCGCTCGGCCGGTGATTGTCTGTGTCTCAACACGCCGTATGCGCCCATTGGCTCAGCCCTGGGAACCTGCGCTGCTATTGGTGGCCAGCGGCAGCGCGCGAAGCTCCGGGCGGGCGCTGCGCGCTCAGAGCGCGGCGGGCCGCGTCGCTGTGGGTGCTGGGGCGTCCCCTGGGGTGAGCATCGCCGCTGCTTTCCATGCGCGCAATGCTCCCGAGACTCGGTTTCAATGTCCCCGAGAACTCGAGTTTCCGGATTCTGGGTAGGGGCAAAGGCATGGGGCTCTCGCGGTGTTTAGGAAGACAGTTTCGATGTTCTGGAGCGCAGAGACGCGGGGAAACCCGCGGTGCCAACGGGGAGGCCGCGCGCCCTCGCCATCTGCCGCCTCCCCAAAGAGGAGAGGGCAGAGGTGCCGGCGCCTCGGGACGTCAGACGTGACCCTTGGCCACCCAGGTGTGAGTTGTGAAGCGGCGGACTCGACAGACGGCGGGGCGGACGATTTTAGTTCCAGAAGGAGCGTGGCGCTCGCCCTGCGCTGGGTGACCTTTCTCCAGGAGATGAAAGAGGAGCTTCTGTCACCTGCGACCATAGTTTTAATGCAAATTAGGTGAAAACGTCGTACGACAGACAACCTGTTAAAGGCTTTGGTTTGGAAACCCATCAGAAGGTCCTTCAAAATGGTCCAAGATATATGTACATTTTAAACCCCTTTGAAAATAGTGCTTTTGTTTCAAGTACAATATAATTATTTAAAATTTAACATTTCATGTGAACAGCAGACAAAACCTAAAGAACAAGTTTACTAAGGAATATCAAAGTAATATATAAAAGGTATACTTGGTGATTTAAGAGTAAATGTTTTCATTTGACTGACGAACCATTAAAAATAAAGTATACCAGCCATCTAAGTATCATCAGTGTCTACTTTTATTTTCTATCCATACACACTTTTGCATAATTCAGTACTGTAGGAAATGGCTGAAGAGAACACATTTCCTATTTTAAATGTTGGCAGTACAGCAATGTTCCTGGAAGTTACTTTAAATAGAGAATGATTTAAAATCCAGTGTTCAATGGCAAGTTGCATTTGACTGGGAGACCCTCAAATCCAGCAATTTGAACAGAAAGCCTTAGGTGGAAATGTCTTA